TTCATGCAACTTTACCATACAGGTCAATTGCAAGTTACAGATGTACCCATCAAAGTTCCACCAGAAGAAACTAATGTACTAACTGTACTTGACTTGGCACCACCTTTTGAGACACACAAAATAGGTGTACTCTATGTTGGACAAGGACAATGTAATAATGTAGTCGAAATTCTACGTAATTCGCATGGAAGTATGAGGTACGTGGAGTTCCTAAGTAATATCGGCACACTTGTCAGCCTAAAGGAGGCAGAACGAAACAACTTGTTTGTAAACTTAGACAGAGGTGGCGCGGATGGAAAGTTCACATACGTTTGGAAAGACGACATTGTACAGGTGAATTTCATGAAACAACGCTGCAACTATGTTACTAGATTGTGTGTATCTAATCGCATTTTTGTATTACTTAGGTAACGTTCCATGTCGCCACTTTAATGCCAACAAATTTGCAGAAAGATCCAAATTGCAACGAAAAGAAAAAACACATTGGTAACGATTTCGTTAAAATCGTTTATAATGAGAGTGGCGAAGAATATAATCTAAATACAATATCGGTATGTATAAATAACTGTAATAGCAATTTTTATTCTTTATTTTATACTTTCTTCCAGGGCCACTTTAACTATGCTTGCGTTATTGTGGAACCTTTGGAATTGAATAGTAACCGCGTTTATGTAAAAGCGCGACCTGAAATATCGAAATTTGTGTGCCATCCCGAACCAAAAATTGTTTCAGATCACAGTGCACCATTATTGGCTCGACAGCTTGCATTGCACGCGAACGTAAGCGCATACATGCATTTTAGCATAACAGTTATGTATTTTTTGTACTTATTAATATTCGACTTTTTTGCCAAATTATTTTCAGCTTGCTTCACAAGTATACCAAAGCCTGCAGAAAAAAAATCCATATGCTTCCAATTGGCTGGAACGTTTACGAATAATTAAAAGGTTGCGAACAAAGGTAATAAATAATATATACAGGTAATAACTATAGATCTAGTATGTAAAGTACATTTTTTTACAGTTAATTGAGCAACAAAATGATCAACATCAAACTGGAAGTTCTTCAGGTGCTGAAGCTGAAGAGCATACAAGCGAACATTTAAAGAAACACAACACGAATCGTGATTTTACTAAATACGCTTAAATTATTGAAGTCGAACTGAATAAATATACTCTTATAATAATCACATAGAACCTGCTTAGTGCATTTGAAAATTCAAAACTTTCTTAAGATACAAACCAAAATCATACATTAAATATTATATGTAATCGATTTAAAATACATATCACATCACATCATTATGAGTCAAAGCATGGTAGATATTTTTTGGCAACCATCTAGGCAATCATAGTCTGAGCCATCTAGTGAACTCTCTCCGTTCGCCAGTGACCGTCAAAGTATGAATTAACACCCATTAAATTAAAATCGAGCATTTGCGAACGTTGCTGTGGACCATAGGAAGGTTATGGCTCTCTCATAAGTATGTGCTTTTGAGTCACATACCATATAGGTATGCAAGTGAACTTTATCGTACATATCTATGGTTCTTCACTATTATTGATTTTGCGATGGATGTGGAAGTCAACCACTAAGAAGAATTATTGAAATCCTAGCTTTTACCGCGGCTTTGCTCGCATTGAATCACGTAAATAAATATCAAAGATTATTAACAAAAACAAATAACTAAATACATAGTATGATCATCTTCATGGTGGTGCTGGTAACCAGAAAAACGCAATTTTATCTGTTTAACGCTTTTGTTGCATTTTACTTTTGTTACATTTCGAAATTTTTCATTAAACAATCATATTTGCCAAAATAATTTTTTTCAATTTTCCAATTTATTTTACAAACAGATATGATGTGACAAAATAATTTTTCCACAAATGCGTAAAAATATATATTTTGTTTTCAATAATACATATCATATGTCCTTTCTAATACCATAAGACATACATTTTATGTTTGTGTACAAAATTTCATGATATAATACGTGGTTTCGGCAGTTCCGATCGTTCAGTTAACATGGCATGATACAAACCAGAGATAAAATACAAACGCGATTATTTGAAATTTCAGTGAAAAATGACATCTCATGGCGCCGCATTCAAGCAAATTTGTGGCAGCATTAACCATCATAAGGGTTGTATTTTTCAGCACGCCTGGCATTATTTAACTTAGAAATGCTTTTTTGGGACTTTCATTTTGAACCGAACCAAATCATTTTTTTTTGAGTCGTTTCCGGTTCGATTTTCGCATTTTAAAATAAAAGCGGTTTGGTTCGTGGTTCACTTCAAGGCCAGCAAAAAGTGGCGGTTCGGTTTAAAACCGGTTTGCAGCTTTGATATAAATCGTTTAGTATTTGTAAGCTACTTGTTAATGCTCCCCAGCTCATCCCATGCATTAGCTGTTCAAGCTGACTAATACTAAAACTGTCATATCTATTATCCAGAAATGTCTTAGTCTTTTTATATAATTTGCAATAAGCAAACCTCAGTTGAATGAACCTAATATTAGTTGAAATCTTTAAACTTGGTGTATTGTGGTTAGATTCCTAAAATTAATGTTTTAGTTACATATCTTTTGCTAGCTTTCAGGAAATCTGTTATACTGATTACCCTCTATTCGATCGACACGAAAAATATTTGCGTTTGCTAATAATGTGTCGATATCTCTTTTAATTTATAAGGAAATTATGAAAGGACTGCAATTATCACTATATGTACATACTTACGCCAAAATGTTTGCTCTTCTAGTAATTATATAAAATTATAACTTTTTCAGTTTATTAACGCTTTTGTTTCCCATAGAAAGTTTCCCATTATTTATTTCTTCTTAATACAATGTCAGAGTAGAAGACATTTTAATATTTTCTTTTATATAATTGTAAATATTGATTTTTCACTAAAACCTTTCGATTTCACATTTAATGCTACAATTTCTCTCTAATTAGTTACACCATTTATTCATTGATATTACAACATTGCTAAAATCAGCATTTTATATGTTATATAATATTTTTTAGAACTCTTTTCACGCCTTCTTGTTAAATTCAAAATATATTCATGTTTTTAGTCATATATACATACATACATATAATATAATATGTAAACTACAATATTTATTTGTGAATAGGAAATGAAAGGCAAGTTTTTAATAAGTTGTAAAGTCGGGAAATGTTTTCAACTTACAACTTCACGTTGATTTGATTTGACTAGGTTTTTACTCATTCAATTAAGTGGTTACATGCGTTTCGTCAAGCAAAAAACGCCCTATTTTCAATGATTTTTTTTTCCAAATAAAAATTTAATATTTTATACAAACTTTTTATTATTCCAAAGATACATATTTGATAAAGATTTTGTGAAATTTTCAAAGAAAAATATTCAAAACTCGGTCATTACGTCATCATTGCTGGCAGTCCCTCGGAAAAAAGGTGCTTCCTCGTTGACAGCAGAACTTCAGACAGGATCATCAAAAGTAAAAAGAAAAAAAATACGTATTTGAACTAAGATCATTAACTAAAACGCAAATTTTGATGAAAATTTCTCGTTTTGTTGTAAATAATTGTAATTCAAAGAAGATAATTATAATTGAATTAAAGACCTAATAAAGGATATCTTGAAGACCTGTGTGAAATTTTATAAAGATCGGTTGAGTAGTTCGCGAGAAATCGTGACAACCTACTTTGAAAACACAGTTTCGAGAAAAACGCGTTTAAAGTTTTAAGTGACTATGAAGCTGACCTCGAGCGCGCAACTTGTCTAAGCTGTACCTCCAAAACTATTACTGCGATCAACTTGAGAATTTAGAACTATATTCTAGAGATGGTATAGAATTAAATAAGAGAATACAATTTTTTTTGGTTTGAAGCCGTGAAACCCATGTAACCCCTTAAACCAATTGAATAATACTTAAAAGTATTGTTAATGATTATGAATTTTTGATAACTCTTATGCGTGTAATTAAAGCTGTCCTACTGAGGCTACGTAAGCAAAGTGTGTTGTGTTCGTGAATACCGCTTGGTGTACGAGGAATATGATGGCGGCTGCGTCAAAATGAAAAATTATAGAAAAGGTTCAAGACTCCGAGCATAAAGGTAGTTCTCAGTTCCACTAATCTTATAAAACTTATCAAAAGTCTCACAGTTGGAAGTACTTCTTTCTATTTATTGTATAAGCGGTGTCGTTAAATCGGATTATGATAGTTTTTTAATTAACCAATTAATGGGAGTTAGATTAGTTATAAATAAGAAAACATACGTATAATATGTACATATAAATGCACAAGTAAGTATGTATAATAAAATATCAACATATAAATATTTAAATATATATATGTATTGTACAATACATATGTAAACTATATAATTTAATGATACTTTTATATTACTTACTTTGTACTTAATAGTCAATTGATGTTCTCTTTACAGTTTCACACGCATACGCATATGCATGTATGTGTATATGTTTACAAATACTTTAGAATATGTTTGATAATTAACACAACAGTATTTGTGGTAAGCAGGAAATATTACATTCTACAAGACAATTTAGCAGCGTTAGCAAGCTGTTGAAGCCGTTCTATTAATAATAATATTTTCAAAGCTGTATCTTTATAAAACTTCAAACGGAAAAATTAAAATGAATTTAGTTGAGACAGCTCAAAATTTTATGACTGAATCATATATGTAGGCCTGAAATGCTAAATATTATAGGAATCATACAATTAATAGAGTTTTAAATTAGCTCCGTTTGGAATCTTAAACATAAAGAAGACAATTATTTTTAATGTCATAACTCAATTTTGAATTGTTACATGTTAAGCTAATATAATTATTGTTATATATTGGAAAAGCGTTTTTGATATCAACAACAGCTTATTAATACAAATCCCTATTTATCAGATTTATGTATGGCTAACGAATAAATAACTAACGCTGTAACAACATTACAATACTATATATTATATGTACATAATGGAAGAAAAAACAATAATTGCTTGTGATTAATGTATTTTCAATGATTAGGGAATCACAGTTTTTAATAACATATGTATGTACATTATTGTGAATTTATATATATATATATTGTGAATATATATATTTCGTATTGTTGCCAATTTGTCATTGGCCAAAGCTACAACTTATTTATATCTATAATTGTTGCTTTGGTCAATGCTGCTTCCTTTATACATAACTAAATACTAGGTTTAACATAAAATTTCCCTTTTTTAATAAGTTTTTTTTACTTTCTAATACAGTTTGGTTATAACAGTTATTTGTTGTATAATATATACTAGTTATATGAATGCTAGCAATTAGAATAATTTTCTTGCAATATAATACAAACTCTAATGGCTACTTGGATTCAGAATACCAACAGTTTCATTAGATAAACTACAAATTTATTTACAATAAAATTGCACGCCTATTTAAACATCATAAGGTATTACTGATTGTAAAAAATATATATAAAATACACTGAATATAGTTCTATGTTCACAGCTGTAGGCTTGTGGAAGGACACAAGTGAAAGGAGACTTTCTATAAGTACAAGTTCGTTATTTAGGCTTTTAATGCCATTTCTATATATTGTTGTATTTATACTATAGCTTAATTAACTATTTATTAACAGCACTACAACAAATTCTAAATAACCACATTTTTGTGGATACACGTACTATATATGTATGTACACTTGTACATTTGTTGACATATGATGGTGCTTACTTCGCTACATATTTCCTCCTATTGATTTAAGGAAATGTTATGAACTTACATATTTTTAAATTTAAAATATAAAAAATCGTTGCATACTTTTTGTTGATAAAATATGTTTGTATGTTTGTTATATACTTTCTTTAAATATTTTTGCTTTGCTTTTTAGATTCTATTTATTTGTTCTGATTTTCTTGAAACTATTGCTACATTACTTGTAAATTATTATTATTGTAGTATATATTATATTTGATTTGAATACAAATTGATATCCACTACATATGCATGTACTAATAACTATTCCCTAGTATTTTACTAATCCCTATTTGCTTTCATATTATTTATTAAAATTTTGCAGCTTTTTGTCAAAAGTAATATAATATACAACATGTTTTCTACAGTATTTGTTTTGTATACAAAGGCTTCATTAACAAGCATGTGATCGTTTATTTTATATATATTTAGTTTTTGGTTTGTACGCATGTAAGCCTTATGATCCTTCCGCACGCTTCATAATTTATAAAATACTACATACATACATGAATCAACTGAATATGGTAGTTTGTATTTACGATAACTCAATTAATGCCACTAATGTTCCTTTATAAGCATATATGCACATCTCTACATGTCTCTACGTGCTTGAAATAAAGCCAGCAAGAGTATATTTCAATTTCTCCCCTGCTGCATAGCCGCGCCAGCAACAGTTTTTTGTTGCCAATTTTTCATACATTAAATTGATACTGTAATGACTGCTTTTGTTGCCATTTGATTGCAAACAAGTCAAACATCGGTTTCATTGCAGGTAGACATTTGTTGAGGATGCTGATGCTGTTGGCAAGTACCATCTGTCAAATTATCATTGGACAGTTGAATTGCCATTATTTCAGGTTTTACACTGGTTGTGCTTTCGTTAGTGCCATGACATTTATTTTGAGTAAGCTGCACTCCACCAAGAGGTGATGACAGCATGGAGTTCGTTGCGTTACTCGCTACAGTGCTATTAATTGGTACTTTGTGTCGCTGTTGTAAGCTTGCCGATGTAGTTTGCGGTTGAGACCAGTTAATGCTATTCTGTGATGTAATATTGCGAGTTTTGACTAGTGGCGGATTTTTGGTGGAAGTAGAAAAAGCCATGCCGCGACGAAGTGGTACTCTGTAAAATTAATGGATTAATACAAGTCACAAATATATATTAATTATCAAAAATTTAACGCAATCATTTCAAATACGTACGTATATATGTATATTAGGATTGCAGATTTGTTAATTAAAAATTGGAATTAAAAATCCAGATGTTAAGATTAAAAATTTGATTTTCATTTTTTTAATCAAGACGTTTTTTTTTATAAAAAAATTTAAAATTGTATATATCACTTTTTGATTTAAATGAACACGAGAAAAATGTAAATTTTAAAGCAAATTCTTTTTTAATTCTTACTTATATGCATTTGAATAAAATTTTATTTTTTATTTTTCAATACGGTAGTTGGGATTGAAAATTAATAATAAATTTTTATCCGTTTTTTAGGATTTTGTTTTTTTATTTTTTAATCGGTATGTGGGATTAAAAATTGTTTTTTTTTTTTTTATTTTTAAAAGGTTTAAAATTTATTTTTAATCTCATACTTGGGATTGAAAAATAAAATAAAAATCATTTTTAATACCGTATTTGGGATTAAAAAATAAAAAAAAATTTTATTTAAATATAATTTTTTTAATTTATTCAAATGTTAATTCAATTATTTTTTTCACGTATTATTTTCAGCCCTGCTGTATATGCAATCATATCATTTCATATTTACAACTAGCTCACCTTGTTGGACTAGGTGGTGGATAAGAAATTCCTCTATGACTAGGCGAAAGTAACAAATTTCCCGAATGGCTTGTTGTTGTGCCAGGTACCAGCAGTGTATTATTACTATAAGTATAATATAGGTTACTGTCGATGGTACTTAATTCCAATTCCGTAGAAAACAAAGTTGAGCATTGAGTATGGTGAAGCGAACCGATGAAATGCCACGTAAATAAAAATAAAGCAAGCGAAGAAGCAAATAAGCAAAAAAAAAAATTATAAAAATATAATACAAATTTAACAAATGCTAAAATATTGCGACATCCAAATATCAATGAGAAAAATGTTTTCCGTACTTTTATACCTACCTACACACAAATATATAAATCTTTGCCGTTACATTTCTAGATAGATCGTATTAAAAAAACTGGTACACAAACTTTCTTTAACAGCAGGAAAGAGCAGAAAACAGCAGAAATGTTAAATTAAGTTTAATAATCTCTCTCAGAGGTCTAGTAAAAATCAGGACAACTAACTTATTTGTCCGTTATGACAGTTTATTACCAGCAAAATTGCTTCAATGTGAAAGTAGCAAAATTATTCAAATCCTTTGAAGAAACGTTTGTATAAAAAAATATGAATTTATTTAGAAAACACTTATTGCTAAAAAATTTCAGAAGATGATTTACATTTAACGATGTCTAAAGATATAGGCTATGTTAGATTACATTAAAAAGGCTGCCCAATCCTTTAAAGACAAAGTAATACCTTTATGGAGGGCAAAGAGAGAGACGAGTTGTTAATTCACCGTTCGCGGTAGTCAATAAAGATATTCTTTCAAATTCATATGAAAATCTCTCAAAAACTGTTTAAATAAATAGAAATGTAAGATTTTTAATTTTTTCGAATACATACAAACATAATGCAATAACGGAATAGAACTTACGTATGGCTTTGGTTCAGGTTTAGATTCGGCAGACTTTGTCCCAGGTGATTAAGTGGCTGTACGGAAAGTGTATTCGCCGTTATAGTGTTAACTTTGAGTTTGAGAGGACCGGATTGCAAATTTTTGCCTTCAAAATATATAAAATAAAGTAACATAAATAAAACAGTCTTATTCTACTTACTCATAGAACCATCATCACTAGATAATGAATTGGTCTTTTCAAAGTCCACAGATATATTACGCGAATCATTCCACTCGACTGAGCCGCTGTGACTATTATTCGCGCTGGATACATGACTGCATATTGACGAGTTCATTGGCGATTTTTTTACTCCTAGTGCATCCACTGTATTGCCACTTACACCACTCCCTCCACCCAAACGGAAATTGTCCCAATTGCCGGTACCTTGTTTCAGTCTTGTGTAAATCATTTTAGCGCGCTTTATGGACTCACACCAATTTTTTGCCTCTGAACATTGTAGAGTGAATGCAGTAACGACCACTTGAAATTCATTGAGGTAGATACAATTTAAAATATTATTGCTTTGTTGTACAACAAGTCTATCGGTTAAGTACGGTTGACGAATCACTTTGAGCGAACCGAGACCACGTTTCGCGATCGCTTTGCAGACAAGCAGCATATCCGTCAACAAAAAACAATGAACATCGGTCTTGCCAAGGTTGTCTTTGAATTTATGGTCGCCTTCCATAAAGAGATGGCGTACTTGATGAGCAGGACATCCTTTCATTGGAGCGCACAAGTCAAACATTTTACTATATTGCTTTATCATTTTGTCTAGATGCTCGTTGTTGGTGTCCTATTGGTTAGAGTATTTAGAGAATAAGGAAAAGATTAGCAAAAATTTTAAACTATGCCTTTTGCATTCATCATACCACTACATCATAGGATTCAATGCGCGCCATAACACCTTTTAAACGTTCATTTTCCTGACGCGTTGTCAAGTGGTTATTCACACTAAACACGAAGTGCTCCACTGAGTGGATCTAAATATTGTAATAGGTAAATTAAGTGATCATCGTTATATATTGAAAAATACCATTGAATCGACTGACTCGATCTGCTCCATATCTAACATGTGCTTCTTGATCGCTGTCAACAGGAGACTGTACTTGGTCAATCGTTGCATCGGTCGCACCAAAATGTCGGCCAAACGCAGCCGGTTACATAGCTTTTGCGACTCACACCAGGCCAAATAAGATGTAAAAAGTGGATTGTTTTGATTAAGCTCCTTGCAATAGAACTGGCAAGTACTCTGTTCTGCACAATACTTTTTGTATGGTGCGAATATTGAGGCGAAAGCAACAAAACCCTGGTGGAAGAAGGTAACACGTAAAGGTTCACCAGTAGCGACACTGTGCGCCACCATGGGGTAGAGATAAAGTGTCCAGAACTTAAGATTTGCTTCACATATATCCCGTACATTCGAAAATAGTCGATGTTGATCTACATCGGTAAGCAGTCGCTCTAATTGCACAGCTTCTAAACATGCCAAAAAGAGCTGGAATCAAACACATTCAATCAAGGTTATTCACAATGGAACGAAATATTTCATCTGAATACTTACATCTGTTACTGTTTGGAGTGCGTGAATGTAATATACTTCGGTGGTAACTAATTCCCAAATTGCAGTTTGTATTCTCATTTCGCTGTCATTCATGGCTGTGCTATCGACAATATCCTTCCATGACTTGTGCATATTGTCCAAATACTCTAAGGCCGCGTCAAAATCCGGATGATCGAAATTTACTGATGCTCTCTTTTGTGGTACACCACTCTTTGCGTAACTATTAAGCAATTCACATAATTGACTTTGCTGCGGATTTTTAATACCGAACAAACCGGACCAGCGTTGTTTGAGTTGTTTTCCTGGAACAGCGGCTTCGCTAGTCTCCTCCGTAGAGGCGGAGGAGAGCAATCGCGGTGGACGTGTGCGAGAACCCTAAATGATAAATGTAATATTTTCAATAGACCCTCAGATTTTGAATTGTTTCTTACAAATGATGCGGCCTTTTGTAAGATTTTTCGACTACCATCGCATTCAGTTACAGTCAAATGATGTCCAGCCAAATTTTCTATATCAGTATTTTCATCCAAAGAACTAGCTAATGGTGAGTACCCTATTAAAATGATCAATCATGGAAAATATAATGTTTTTACTTGTTATAGCTTGATTGAGCGAACATACTGAGCGAAGTTTTTGCGATATTGACTTACGTACCAGTTTCTAAAAGACTACTGGGTGGATTATTATCAGTGATGGCGATTTGTGAAAATGTTAAATTGCGTCTTTTCAACGCTTGACTTAGCGCGGAACTGAGAAATACATACATAGAATATATACGTGCAAATAGTTAGCGCTAGAAGGTGTAAGTAAAGTCTAAAAGTATAAAACTTACTACAAAGTTACGCCTTTGGTCGCTGGTATGAATTCCTCCTCTACACCACCTTGGTCTGTACAAAAACTCACAGAAAAGTATTCCGAACTCGTTACCTATGAATATTACATAAATAGTTTTATTAAACGCTCGTTGAAAAGGTTTAAGCTCCAAATTTGAATAAAACAAGTACATACAAATTGACATATGAATAAGTACATAAATAAGTATACACATTTCTAACTCTGTAAGTAATATTAGTAATTGAAAATGAGTTAATGGATCGGAAGTTCTTTGATTTGTGAAATCTAATAACGCGCAAAGTTTCACAAGGCAATCTTCCGGCTTAATAAACTGTACATAGAAAGTGGTGAACATTTGTAACTAAATTCTCGCTTACAAAACTTTTGTTGGTTATGATTTAACAGCGGTTGGTATATGAATTTCTTGAATATGACACAAATATGTTTTAACCATTAAGATTGTATATCATTGATAGAAATGTTTAGAGTAACATGCGGTAACGAAGTAGAGGACAGATAATGTAACTAAAATCTAGCAAGTAACTTGTGGAAAAGAATTGAAATTAGTTGAGTTATTTATTGCTATTTGCTTACTAATCAACAATTGCTATTAACTATTGTATTGGGTCGTTCACTAAGTAATTTTGTAATTTTTTATTGTGTAAAACCTTCAATAAAATTGGACAAATTTAATCTTTCAGCAATCTACTTTATTTTAACCCCAACGGCTTCAAGAGGCCTTCCAGGACTTGGTGCATTCTCAAGATCGAAATTGCCGGAATGAAATTTTGCAAACTAATTTTAGCATTGGCGTTCAGTCAACACATCTTCTCCGTACACATCACATAATTTTCGCCTTGCTTGAACTGTATGTTTACTCTTTTGATAGTAAAATACTAACATATACTATAAATACGGTTTTCGATCTTCCATATCCGTTAGGGCATCACACAAAAACTATTCCAAAAAATTTAAGAACATTTTTTCCAAACAAGCCTCACTAAATCATATCTTCAAATATATAACAGTAAAACGACTAAGTGTGAAGTTGGCTGCGCAAAAAATCAATAAGGTCGGCTATTATCATCAAACTAAATTACTCAGTGAACAATCCAATATAATGTATTCTCCTTTTACCGGTTGTCTCTAACATCATACGATAACGGATTCGAATTGATTTCTGACACTAAATCGAATAGTTTGAACAAAAAAGGTAGCTTGATAAAACCTGGTCCACGGTAAGGCAATCAAGACAGATTGTTACTGTTAAAGGGCGAAATTCGGAAATCTATAACGCCTACAATGACATTTTGATAGGTTTCTGATGGGTTTCAGTTTATTAGACCATACAATAAACTTTTCACAAAAAATAGATAAAATCGGTTAATATTTTAATCCAACACATGTAGCGAATATAATGATTTTTGTGTCCTCATATGCTACAGGGAATGTAGAAGCGACTTAACATTTATTTGCTTTCTTTATTATTGTAGATTTTGCGAAAATCACACAATTCAGTTGATGGACGATTTTTCCGTTTGTATTGAAAATAATTATATAAAGCAAAACTAGTAATAAATATGCAAATCATAATGTTCTTGCTACAGAAATACGAACAATTACCTATACGTCTAAATCACCATACGAATAACACTTAACTCACCTCACTGCGTGTTAGCAGTGGCTTTTTACGCTGTAGAAATGGAGATTTTTTCTTATAACTCGTCACAGACTTGGTGCCTGTTGGAGTTGATGTCTCTTCACTAGTTATTTTCGCTGTCGTTGAAGAAGAGTTCAACACAGCTGGATATTGATCTGGATTGAGCTGTTCAGAGGTTTGAATTGTTGAAGTGGCCGTATTTGTGCAAACTTCGCTCCGGCTCTGAAATTGATGTGAGTGGATGCATGAATGAGCTGTTCGTTTTCAAGCAAGCTTATCACGCTGTCAATAACGAAGAGGGATTTGAGGTGCTAAAGCTGTGGGACGTGGTACAGACTTTGGAAGGACATTGCTAATTGATGACGATGGCAAATACGATTGTTATGAAATAAACAGAGACTTTCTGCCATGCAACACAAATTTAATACTCAAATGACTACTGGGTTAATGTAAAATAAAAGTACTTTTCAAGTGTCCTATAAACACGCTCGAAAGCCATAGTATGTATTTTATTGAAAGTAAAGAATGATAGACCGGCAACTGAGTTTGTATGTGCTTTTTACACAAATAATTTGACGGTAACCGTTATGTTGTATGAATTCGTCTTCACATAGGCTAAACAACAACAACAAAATAGTAAGCATTTAAGATAAAATAATTTATTTTTGCAACTTAGATAAAATAGTTAGTTATCAAGTTTACTGAACATGGTACATACATTAGCCTTTCGTAATATTTATTTAGCTTTATACATATTCAAACAAAATTTTTTTGGATTTTAACGGGAAAATACTGTATGGAGATGAAATATGTACATACGTGCGTAATAGATATCTCTATAAAAATTTTTGGATTTGTAAATTTTCATTCTAGAGTTTTCTCATTTTATATTATAAATAGCAAGTATATATTATATTATATTTACAACTAGAACAGCGAAATACTAGAACACAAAAAATGCTTAAGAGGTTATTTGAATTGAAATTGTATTAGATAATTTTTCTACTAAACAAACTGTAAAATGTAAGAAGCTTACCATATTCGGTGTTATGCTAACGGGAATGCCACGATGACATGCTGCCGTGGGGTCGAGACCATCCAAGTGTGTTAGGCTTTTAGATTTCAACTGTAAAGAAACAAATTAATTAGGATTTGCTAGCAATAAAAAATAAAGAATTTCTCTGCTTTACTTAATGTGTGTTTTATGTGAAACCAAAGCTTGAAAAGAAAATAGTTAACAAATCTTGCACAAAATCAATAAATTCATAACTTTCCAATTCTATATCAATTATTATAGTGAAGTATTTGTATGTATGCATCACACATTATCATTGCATTTATCATTTCGGTTAGCAAGTTTCAAGGTATACAAATTAAAATTTTATAATAATTTAGATCTTTCGTATTTTTCGCACAAACATTGTGTTAGACATTGCCTAACTACCAACCAACAGAGGGTAAGAGTAACAGCATTATACAATTTGAAAAGAGTGAAAGCAAACTAAACAACAAATCACTAAAAGAGTGTAAGGAAATACTGACTTCATTAGAATACATAAACAATTACTAAGTAAATTACGCAAATTCCCAAGCAAAACAAATTCAAACACGCTATCAACAAAAGTATAAAAAAACACAAAAAAGCACATTGCGGAAATTTGAATTGTAATACTTGGTAACACCTAACAAAAGCCTGATGGTAACTTGCGAAAAGGCAGAGCGACAAGGAGAACTACGCACCAACATTCGCACTTCAGCTGAAGCTGTTGCTTCTAACTTTTAATGTAAAATGCTATAAGTAGTTATTTCTTCTATTTAGCTGAGAAGTATGAAATTTTATACAAAATAGTTTTTTATAAAGGCACGGTAAGAAAACTGAGTATCAGTTATACGTTGTATGTCAAATTCAGAATTAATTAGCCGATATATCATTTAATTTCACTTGTGGAAAATAAAATAACGCTTTTTAAACAGGTTACAAATATGATCTAGTTCAATGGGGAAAAATAATAGTATTTAATTTATATGTAAGTATATGCTCATTTAAGGTTCTTTGGGCTAAGTCACATGCTACTACGATTGCTGTTATCAAATTAACACAAAAACAGCTTAACATATTAAAATTAGTTATATGTATATCGGTATATATAATATGTAAAATTTATTAAGTTAAAAATAAACAGAAAAGAAAACTAAAGCAATATTGATTTTCTTAATTTTTATTCATATTAAAAATCAAAATATACAAAAAAAAATATTAAATTTAGTAAACATAATTAATTTATGCACAAAAATGTATAAATATATAAAAATATAAAACAACGTATGTACATGCAGCGTATGTTATTCTAGTAACGTTCGTGGTAAGCATTTTATTGGCATTTACCTGCAATTTACTATTTGGCGGAGAGACTACTAAGCAAATCTTCATGGTAGCACGCAAGAATTCCTCGCGTTTTGTATTCAAATCCTGCGGCATTGTGATTGGAGATGTTACGGCTGATTGCTTTAGTGGCGCACGCTTCGTTGCGCTATATATTGCAGCGGCTGGTGTTTTTGTCATCGTTGAAGTGGTCGTTGTGATAGTGTTCTTCTTGCTGTTACCTTCAACAGTATTCGCAATTGGAAGAAAGGGATTAAGGCTCTTTATAACATTGCTATCGGAAGCGGAAGTACATGGTGTAGATTTTCGGAGGAAGGTATCTGGTGTAGTAACTTGCGGTTGTGCTTTGTGAGTTGACTGTTGATGTAGCAAGTGTCGTGTAGGCGAATTCAAGATGAACAGCTTTCGACGCTGTCGCCCCGGTGTTGATGATGAACTGTTAATAGGACTAGAAGGTAGCTGTACATTAGCAGAATTTTTCGCTATGGCTGTTGCTGAGATAGCGCTATCACTATGTGTGGACTCTTGCGAACCCGCTCGACTATATACAGGCGTTGGTAATTGAGCCGAATGCGAGCCACTACCATCCATTTCTACCCCACTCAAGTCTCCTCCCGGACCACACTTAACATTGGTCACATTATCCTCGAGCGTTTTGTTCTCCTCATCATAGACGCTATGATAGGTACGGGCAATGATTTCGGGTAAAAAGGGATTATTCGGTGAGGTTAAAGTATATTGATAATACGATCCGGCTGTTTCACTTGAGTCAGCACGTTTTAATAATGGCTTTGACGTGGTAACTGTATTATTATCTGCCGGTTGTGCTACTGTAAACGCGCACTCAATGTCATCGGACTCTTCTGGAAAACTACCGACATAAAAATCGGCGGCTACATGACTACAACTACCGCTAATGTTTGAAAAGCCCAAATTCTCCCATTCACCCGAAGAAGAATTGTGTGACGAAGCCGTGAATCCCTCATTGGAGTGCGCATGAATACTTTTTGTGCTTTCATTACTTGATTTAAAAAGAAGATTTTGTAGACGCGTGAGTTTCGTTGAACTGCTCTCGCTGGTAATGCTGCAACTACGACTTGCTTGTTGCTGGTGAATATCACTTTTACTACTGCTTTGTGATTTTAGCTTTTGCTTTTGTTTATGCTGTTTCGCTGTTAAACCAACATCGTCCATTGTTCGTCCGGAATTATTTGCCGCTGACACACCATTGTTGCTGTTAGTGCTTACCTCGCCACCCATAGAGGAGTTAGATTGATGCCACGCCCAATAGCTGATGCTGGTTAATGACGAAGTGCGTTCGTCGATGTCGCCAAAGTTACTTTCCAAAGAGGTACTCGAGTTTGTCGTTGCGACACTACTTAGGTGATGATATGCATACTCGGGTGGTGTGTCTGCGTCAGGACTGTCCAAAAGTAGCGCCGGATTGATATGTCCTCCACCAGCCGTACTGTACACACTGCTTTTACTGCCGCCACCCAAGTCTAAACTACCGCCGACCCCCAGGCTAGGCAGATGACTAAAAGAGAATATAGAATGGGAATTGCGTTGTAGTGGGGGCAATGATCTAATGCCGAAGGGTTTTAAGTGAAAACTATTTCCGCCCCCACTGTCAGTAAGGCTATTGCAGCTGCTATTTTTTTCGCCTGGAGAGTACTGTTTATCTCTGTGATTCGCACCAGCAAGGCTCTCTAATCTATGTTCAGGTGGTTTGATTTCAAGTGATTTATGTTCACCGCGTCGAAATGAACGTCTCAACTTCTCCGCAAATTTTCCACATGTTTCTTTGGAACCCTTATTTTTTCCTGACGAACTTGGACGGGTATTTGTGCTTCTAACTGTTGCTGTAGATGGTTTGTTTTCCTTCTTTGTGTTATTTATATTGAAGGTCTTTTCAATTTTTTGGTCGTCATTTTCCGTTTGTATATTGTCCAACAATTTTTCCTGCATTTGCGTTGATATTTTAATTTTTCTTTCCACGGAAATTGGTTTGTTGTTTTCGCCTACTATTGGCACTGCAATGACGTCTATTTCGTTTTTAACAACGTTTAGTTGTTGCTGCAAATGTACGATTGCTATTGCGGAAGTGAATCCACCGCCCATTACGTCTACGCTGTCGTCCCTCATGCACTGAACATCGCTATCGCCAACTTCAACTGCGGTGGTTACTGTTGAAGATGTCCTAGTTTTTGCACTTGGAATCGTACAGAACTTATTTTTTTTTTATTGAACTAACTTTGCTCAATTTGACCGAAAATGTATTGCCAACACTTTCTGTGGAGCGAATCAATTCATTTCGCTGAGAATGCCTCTGGCGGGTTATATGCAATTGAACTTGTTCCTTTTTGTTTATATTGAATGCTTGTTCATATCTTTATATTTGTGTTAGTGAATTGTTCAACGATGTGGAGAAAATTTGCTGTTGTTTTTCACATCATGCTCTGATGCTTCTTCATAATTTCTCCGATTACATAATATCCTAAAATAATTTGTGAGTTCCTACCGTCGAATTCCGTCATTGGAACGCTAGTATGTAGATACTCATTGCACAAAGTTCGCTTCTCCTTAACGTCGAATTAATGTAGACGTAGGTTATATTCTAATCTAAATATAAATAAGCGTTTAACATTTTTCCCCTATATTTTGATTTAGTTATATCAAACATCATTGAAGATATTCTTTGATTACTTATTGTTTGTTATTTTGATTTTGTTAATCCGGAGTTTTACACTGCTTCGAAAATGTCTTCACGATTTTTTTTGTTGATTTTGTATTTCAATGCTTTTAATTCTAAGCAACTGAAAGTATTGTGTCAATTGAACATTTGATAATCAATTTCAAATTTTTAACTCAACTGTTGTTCAAAACATAAATGTTTCTATTATAAGCTGTAAATACATTTTTAGGCCTACTAAAAATAATTAGGATACATAAATATTTTCGACCTAAAACTATGGCACACCGTTTCCAAAAATATCATATATAGTTCAACAAACTTGGGGAAAGCAATGTCCGTACAGTATGTATGATTGTGGGTTTGGAAATCTTATCGAGTGGGCTTGAAACAATTTTCTTTTACAAATGATGTAATTTTAAGACGTGTATGTTTTGCTTGGTGTCAGGATATATTACAGAATAGTTCTCTACAATCGTCTAATATTATACAAAACAAATTTAACTGCACATTTACTGTTATTTGCCTGAGTGGAGTGTTTGCGTGCGTGCTTATTATTTACTTTGGCTTATATAATATATTGCTACGGCACTTCCGGCGGCCATAAAACTAACAAGCTACAAGGCCATTTCGGTAAAAAATACAGTTACATACTCGTACTAGAGCATCACAAATGCTGCAGCTATAGCGCTTTATGTTGAGCTGCAGATGGAGCTATCTATTGTTTCTGATTATCCAACTAATTGCTCGCATAGCGCTTTCTTCTGTTGACATTTGCTCATTATGCTCTTAGTGACACATATACGTATGAGGTGTGTTCAAAGGAAAAGGTGAATTTTGATTTTTCGCGAGCTGTGTACATTCGATTATCGATATGTTGTTTTTGTTATAATTGCACACATATGTTTGTCATGTGTTTGTATTAGAAGCCAACAGAAAAGTTTAGTTAGTTTTTGTGTGCTCTTCGATTTTTGACTTTTGAAAAAATGGATCAAAGAATATGTTTTAAATTTTGTCGTTAAAAATGGAATAAAGTGCTTCAAGGCCCTTGACATGTTGACTGTGGTATTCGTTGAGTGCATTTTGTCTCAAAAAAGTGTTTATAAGCGGTACAAGCGCTTTAAAAAAGGTCGAGAAGATGTTGATGACGATGAGCAGCCTGAAGATGCGACCACGTCAACAAACGAAGAAAACATCGAAACAGTGAAAAATATTGTTCTCGAAAATCGTCGAATCACTATTAGGGAAGTTGGAGAGAATGTTGGCATATTAAGCGGCTCATGCTATTCAGTTTTCTCGAATGTTTTGCGCATGAAACGTGTGGCAGCGAAGTTAGTTCTGAAATTGCTAAATTTTGAGCAAAAGCAATGTCGCATTCGTATCGCTCAGTCAACAACGACGGCAACAAAGATTTGGGTTTGCTCAAATGGGTTATAACTGCTGGTTTTGGCTCTCTGCGACTTTTTCCTTTTCCCAAAACTGAAGAAATCAATGAAAGGAAAGCGTTTTGCCACAATTGATGAGATCAAGTCAGAATCGAAGAAAGAGCTGATGGCCATACCGAAAAGCGCATTTCAGAAGTGGTTCGAAGATTGGAAAAAGCGTTGGCATAAGTGTATTATATCCGAGGAGGATTACTTTGAAGTGGACAAAATATATATTGATGAATAAATAAGCACTTTTCAAAAAAATTAAAAATTCAGCTATTTCTTTGACCACACCTCTTATATATCGGGTGTTTTTTTCGAGGTATAGAACATTAAGTGGCATTACTGTTCAAGATGGCGATCGATTTAACAGCTGTCAAGTGATTTATTCTCAGTTTGGTTTGGCAATTCATTATGAATAGACTCTCGTCTGAACAACGCTTGCAAATAGTACAATTTTATTTCGAAAATAATGGTTCTGTGCGGAATACGTATCGCGCACTACGTTCTTTTTTTTTAGTGATGAAGAGCACTTCTGGTTGAAAGGCTACGTCAACAAACAAAACTGCCGCATTTGGAGTGAAGGTAATCCTCAAGTGTATGTCGAAACACCGTTACATCCTGGCTGGTGGATTCATTGGTCCGTACTTCTTCAAAAACGATGATGGCCAGAACGTTACAGTCAATGGCGATCGGTATAGAGCCATAATTACTAACTTTTTCATTCCTGAATTGATCAACCATGATGTTCAGGAGCTGTGGCTCCAACAAAACGGCGCAACATGTCACACAGCTCGTGCCACAATCGATTTATTTAAAGACACGTTTGGTGACCGCCTAATTTCACGGTTTGGACCTGTGAATTGGCCTCCAAGATCATGTGTTTTAACACCGCTAGACTACTTTCTGTGGGGTTATGTAAAGTCATTGGTCTATGCGCTTAAGCCACAAACGCTTAACCATTTGAAAGACGTGTTATTGCCGATATACGGCCACAAATGTTGGAAAAATTGATTGAAAATTCTACGCCCTGATTGGACTACATCCGAGCCAGCCGTGGCGCCCATATGCCAGAAGTAATATTTAAAATGTAATGCCACAAGATTAGCTTTCGTATAAATAAAATGCATGTCAATCGAATAAACCATCGTTGTTTTATGAATATGAAAATGTATCACTGTAGAAAGCAGATGATATTATATGACTGTAAAGAATTTTAATAAAACTTTTTCATTACAGTTTGCATATTTTTAGATATTTAAGTTTTGACACTTTGATTGATAGCGGTCAAAGCAAATGCTAATAACGCCCACAAGAAGTCACAAACATGTTCACTGGTTGACGACCAATGTTTGATCGATAAACCAATATATTTCCCAAGAGCAACTGAAGTAAGCGGATTACCAACTGCGTATATTGTGGTGTAAAGTGTCATAATGGGATATTCATGAAAAATCGTAAAAAGTAATTTATAAGTAGTGCAAACAACGTAATAATAATAACAAAAGAAAGGCTTCACAACCTTCCTATGTAAATGTATTGTGTGCGTAATTTTTCGCGCGTACCAACCAAGGGTGTGACATATTTTTAGGCGTATATATATAGGCGTATAGGTATATATCAAATAAGTATACCTTTGAATTTATATTTAACTTTTCTTAACTTGACGTTTTTTAATATTCCGCATGTTTGCTTGCGAAAGAAGAATGTCTAGAAATACTATCATTTCTGAAGATATTTACCTGAAAGTAAAAGATTGGAAATAAATATTCATTAAAGTATATATTCAAGGATGGAACTACTATGAGTTTAATAAAAGTTGACGTAATTAGCGAGTTAATATCACACACCATATTTCCTACTGAAAACCACTGAAAGCTACTACATAAAAACTGTCAACCAATAAAATATAACGATTTGGACGATTTTAACATAAACAACCAAATGACATTTTTCAGGTGAATTGTCCATTGTGCGTAAGGTACGCATATAATTACTATTCACTTGCAGTGTTGTGAGCTGCTGTAACACTGCCAGCTATTCACACTTTGTAGAATTTCCGTTTTGTTTATTTAATTTATAAAATAAACACAAAAGATAATTCAATTACGCACAAGTAGTGCAACATTATACGCGGATGTAAACAAAAACACACCAACACAATTGGCCTGAACAAAGGAGCAAAAGTTTGTTTGAAAATACGACGAAAACCACTATAAGCGGTTGAAGTGCTTCGAAAATGGCAACAATTTGCCTAAATGGGTTAACTAAATTAAATAACATTTACAATATACGTGCGAAGCACACCATGCCATCAGCACAGAACAGAACTGTTTGGCCCATTGGTAGCTAAGTATGTGCTTTAAACTTAGAGGCAACATTAAGTATTATACAAATATTTTTATAGTTTAAACAAAAAGCATACACAAAATATAAAATATATATGTATGTATTGTATATAAAAAAATTTTTTTTTGCTTAGCCTGAGTATCAAATTTGTAGATTATAAAAAAAAAAATGTTTGGAAAAACAAAATTTTTTAACAAATAGAGGTGGCTTACTTTTAAAGTAAATTTCTAGTTAAAATTTTCTGGTCGTAAAAAATTTTAGATAAGTGTTCAAGAAGCTGTAATTGCAATTAAAAGCTATCAACTTAAAAAAAATTGTGGTCATTATTGGAGTTTTAAAAACGTCTCAAGCGACAAACGCTTTCCTTAAGCGTTAAAATATGTTTTGAGTCGAAAACCGTCAAATTCGGTAATTTTTATATAAATTTGAAGAGTTTAAATAAAAATATTTTTTGTTAAAAAAATTTTTAACTCGAAATTACTTTAAAAGTGAATGGGCCTCGGATTAAAAAAATTTTTTTTTCAAAAATCTTCTTTTTTTATAATCTACAAATAAGCAAAAAAACCAAAAAAAAAATTGTTTCGCTCCCTCCTAGTACATAGCACACTCAAGTGTTGAACGCTCAATCCAAATGCCACAAGCATTAATTTGTAAATATTTTTTTGAACTCCATTATTATGCCATTTGTGCATTTGATAGAGGAGGACTAAGGAATGAAAAATATTAAGCAAACTCACACAGAAACAAGTTTGCATACATACGCAAGAGAGAATTTACACTAACCAACCAAAAACTTATGCAGATATAATATTTACAACTGTGTTATGCAGCACGCTATATCATATTACCATTTGTTGGTGAAACGGTCGAATGCCATAGGAAGGTCGTGCCAAAACGGACCTTCACCTCGATTACAGCAACGCTTGTTTTAGTTATTTCCTAAAAGCCTGCCTACTATTATTTTATTTTGCTTGCCATATAACTCTTTGTTGCTTTTTTATATATCTTGCTTGCTTTCCTTCCATAATTCTATTTCGTTACGTATGTAATGGTCAAACAAGGTAATTTGTACACAATTGTGCTATTGTTGTAAACTTATTTACATATGTACTTGTATTCATTCAAAACCTGCAATGGCGTTTGAACATGATTGAGTGATTCCACGTCATTTTGTGGTTACGTTCTTACTAATTTGTGCTTTTAATAATTGTTTTTTAATGCAAAAACTTTTACTAGCAAACATAATTTTCAGATCACAGATAAAAAGACTAAGCTAATATTAAATAATATAATCCAGGAGGTAGCCAGATTGCATAATTCACGCTCATTAATAAAAACTGCGACCTGAAAATTGGTTTTAGTCTTCAACGCGGCACGAAAAACTAGACAAAGAAGTGAAGCATATCGGAATTTCCATATAAGCAGCAAGAAACGGCCATAGTATTAGCCATTCGGAAACGGAGAGCGGTTCCACCTGCATGGGCAATTTTCTTTCCTTCTGATCAATTAAGTATCGATCAGTACCTAGCTGTCAAAACAAAGCATAGCTTAGCATATGGCAAATCATTTTTTTTATACTAAACAAATAAGGTAGTGCTAAGCTCAAGCGCAGCCGAACTCACAAATGATTTAAAGGCTGGGAAGACATATATTTTGTTTATTACATGAAAATCTTGCTTTAAAATCCATATTATCTATCAAGCGAAATATATTTGGCATCAGCTTATGTGTATATAATTAACAAGCCTACTTAGTTTTTTTTTGAGCTACGAACTGATCGAAATTAATACTTTACTGTGAGCACCGTGGCGGTTCTGAACATATAAGTGAACAAAATCATTATACACTGTGCAGCATGTTATAAGCGTATAATAAAGAGTAGTGTCGATAAAGGTGTTTTTGCAATATTGCAGCAAAAAATGTGTTGGTATGTGTACTAATATTTGAATAATGAATAATATTCTGTTATAACGTGTACAAAAATATTTATTTGTATGTATAAAAAATTAAAAGAGTTTATGAGTATAAATAGTTTACAGAACCGTGCAGTTAATATCAGTGCAAGTCAGCTCTTTACAGCACCTTCACATCGAAATATAGGTTTCGTATAATTATATAGAATGTTGCAACTATTTTCAAGTGTTATTGTCGCTGTTGCGATATTCGATTTGGTATGTGCAGAATATATACCACTGGGTCATGCCACCAGCTACGCTACTGTGGTACAACATGAACAAGTGCCACAGCATGATGGCTATTCGAGTTCAGGTAATTATGTGACTTTAGGAGATAAGGATTACGCACACTATGTGCACGAACCACGCCACTATCCGAAATATGCATTCGAATATGGGGTTAAGGATTCGCATACTGGCGATAACAAGAGGCATTGGGAACAACGTGATGGCGGTCATGTCAAAGGTGAGTTAAAAACTTCAGCGAAAAACGTTTAGTTAAGTTAAAGGTAAACTTTTTCAATAGGTGGTTACACACTACTTGAAGCTGATGGCACTACTCGTGTTGTTGAATACTCGGCTGATGATCACAATGGCTTCAATGCTATAGTGAAGAAGATCGGACATGCGCACCAGCCAAAAGTGTATTATCATAAGGAAGCCTATAATTATGACGACCACAAACAATATCCTCCAGGGCATTCCAGCAGCTATGTGGAAATTAAACAACACCATTAAATTATGTAACGCTTGATACCAAATGTTATAAAAGAAGTCTTTATATCAATGTGAATTGAAATTGTTTAAAATAACAGCTATGCAAATTGTTAATAGCAATGTTAACATACAAATTTTTAGTACATTTATTACATAACATCTATAAACACAAATAACGTGAGTTTGGTTCACAATTTGTACATACATATGTTGTATTTAAGGATGCTCGAAACATTTCTTTAACTAAATTTAATTGCTGCTATTGTGCGTATTCGGAACTGTATTCGCACACACGCTTTTCAATAAAGGATCATAAAATTTCATTTCGAACACGTACGGTTAAGAAAATAAACACATATTTATGTTCGTATTTACGCTTATCATCCTATCACATATACTGCATGCGTACATTCGAACAAATTGCATTAGCCGAACACGGTGACGAAATACTATACTATCTGTCGGACAACAATGCCACAAATGAGCAATAAGTAGACTGTGTTTAATCTAATGCTATGGCGACATTTTCCTTTGTGTACTTTGTGTATTTTGTCCATTATTAAGGTGGTCTTCCGAATTTTAGGAATAATCTCTGAATTTTCAGTACTTTTATCATTAAAAAAAGTGTACAAGGCTGAGATTTAAAAATATGACTAAAAAATATAAAATATTAATTATCGCGATTCCTAAGAAAATATCTTTAGTTGATTACAAACCAGATCAAGTCTTCAATTTTTTTAAATTTTTTATGCACTTCAAATGTAATAGTTTAAGAATATTTCAAATATATTCAAGTTTATTTCTTAATTACTACAAAATTTCGAGACTGGCAACCCTGTGTTTAAGAGAGCAATCAGCTGACTCGTTTCGCGAATATGCTACAGTACGGTATGTACAAGATTTGTACAATAGATGCGGACGGTAGAAGTGGTGCTGAGTGTTCATTTACATTGCGATTTCATAAGATAGGCCGTATCAGCTGAGTCGGTCTGCGGGCTTGCGTCGGTAACTGTTTCCAGCATAACTAAACGGCGTCCATTCACTCGCAGTGTGAGAGCAGATCAATTGCTTGCTATGCGCAGAGCGTATTGCTGCACACAATCGCAAACAATGCCTGTTCGGTACGCCTATGCGTCAGCTGAATCCAAATGATTACCACTGTTATGTAGTACCTTATGGTTAAACAGATACATATCCAGCCTGAAATAGCAGTTTTACCAGATAAACGCTAACACATCAGCAAATTTGCAACAGCCATCATTATTCTTATAGGCTTTTGGAAATTCATTGAACCAAAGTTAAATCAATGAGTCGTTGTTTCATTTCACTATGTGTTCATGCGTTCGTGCGTTAAAGCTGCATCCTCATAGCCTTGTAAATGTTAAACGTTTAGGTGTATTGCATTTGCATAATTGGGGGCGAACGGTTCATATTCTAACCACATATGCATTTACAAACCAACAACTACTCAGACTTATGCGCTATATAGCACTAATACATAGATACTAGTATTTGTAACACTCCATGTATGTTATGCAGGAATTTTCATTAGCAAGGTAGAAAGGTATGTAATTTGTGAAACATGTCTTGCTCTTAAAGTGCTTGTTCAAATAGTTTGCAATTCCCTCTTGATTAATTCACTTAATGCTCAGCATTACTATAGTCAATTTCAAGTTCAGTCAATTGCATATTGAAGTGTAGGGTATACGATATGTTCAGAATATTCAGAATATGTGTCCTAGTTAAATAAAATTCAAATTTGGGACTAATGAGATTTTTGTTAAACTTAAAATATATAAAATATATAATAAAAAAGATTAATTCAACTTAATGCAACGATTTTGTAAAATCGAAACATTAGGAAGCACTTAAACTAGTGATAGTTTTTCAGCTTATTTTAGCCACCATTTTCCAGAAAAATAAAATAATAATAAAAAGTTTCACTTTAGTGAAAATACTCTGAAACTTAGTTAGTTGTCTGGGCAAATAATTGTGTGACTTAACGTATCCTAAGGCATAATTACTTTGTTTTAGTTAAATGGAGTGAAAAATGGTTTACTGCAGATGTCAGAAGTTCGGTTGCTATTATTTGAATGATAGTGATGTGCTTAATCGAATAATGAATAATGGAATTTTAATGACAGCTTTCTTTGCATGATCGAAATAACGATTAATTGGCGTTTTTATTGGAAGACAAATTGATTCCATACATTGCTGCATGATACGTACTTTTTCCGAACTAAAATAACTTCATATGAGTTACACATGTATATAAATATAATATATTATATGTATACATATTGATTGCTGTTTGAGGATATTACGGATGACGTGTGAAATTCGCAAATAAATTTTAAATATCAACATAAGTGTATGTTCGTTATTGAGCATCATTGATTGCCAATACAAATTGATCGCACAAACTGAGCAGAGCCTTTATCTAGTAAATTCAATCACAAATAATTCAACTGTTTTCGACTTTATTATGGGTATTCCAAACATAAACGATGGCTTAATACAATGTCTTTAACTGAATAAGGAAACAAAGTAATCAAGGTATTTTGTGGCAACACCTGCATATATGCATGTATCTTTAAATTTAGATGCATACATATTATATATATATACAGTAAAACATTAGCTAGTAATTAGTTGTGCTGTGAGATCACACTGGTAAACTCACTGTCACAATTTTGATTAATGATTTATTTGCATACGTACATAGTATGAGTATGGTGCCCAGTGCGTATGATGAACATTTCTTTAATGTGTTGGCTTATTTAAAATGACGGTGTGGTGTGAGAAACCAAAATAGTTATATATACCTGAATGCTAAATAAATGTCATACTGAAACATTAAACACAACAATTTTTGAATGATACAATTTAGTCCTTGTACTGCACTTTTCTCAATTAATTTGAATATTTTAGCAAAGAACATTTAACTTTTTTTAAAAGAGACAAATAATAATTTTACATTATATTTATAAGCAATATCGTGCTTGTCATGTCTTTATTACGAAGTAAATTCGTTATTCTTCATTCACGCGGATTTCAATTAGATATCCTGCCCATTTATGTTAATTAGTCGCCGCGCGAGCCGAACCGATAATTAATTGCATCATAATTTAATTGTGACAGCCCATCAACACTGTAATCGATTTGTAATGGCATGAGCTAAGTCCATCAGCTGTGGGAATATGCATGCTGTGAATGAAATGAGTGTCAGCTGCTTAAATTTTGTGAATTTAAGATACTCATAAACCTAAATATTTGTACTCTTGTTGCAAATAAAAGCTATGTATTGGTTTACAAGAATTACAATGAAAAAAAATTCTCATAAGAAAGGACTATCAAATAGTAAAGGCGAAATAAATTGCAGCAAAATGTTCATTTCTATTTCTAACTGTTAATCGTATGAAAAATATATTTATTTTATTTTATATGTGGTATACATTTTTTTTCTCATTTATGCAATAAATTTGAAAATGAACCGGCTAATGTACATAATTCACAATATTCCAGCTCAATATGTGCACAAATCACTGCAGAATTTTATTTTAAATATATTTATATATACTCGTACGTAAATAAGTTATATACGCGACTGGAAGTGCACACACCACAACGGCCATAGATATTAATACTACAATTATTTAATGCTCCGTTAAATCATAAATAAGTGCATATGTATGCAAATATGTCAAATGTTAGCAAAGTATGTACGGTTATTTATGAAAATCATTATGCAAAAGAAAAATTTTACACTTGGTAATTTTCAGATACGGTTTGTTTGCTTGCGGAGGTGTCTTTCAGCATTGACAATCCAATGTGTGAGTTAGCAATTGCTTGTGGAATGTATCGTTGCTGCACCTGCGTATAAATATATGATGATTTTATATGTACTTGTATTCAATCTTTTGTTTTGCAAAAATTAAACGTATGCATGTGGAGGTTGACAATAGAAATGAATATTAATATTAAGTCAATCATAATTTAGTTTACGCTATTTTTATGGTTATAATTGCTCATCGGAAATCTAATAATAATAATAACCCAACGATTACCCTCCTCCCGGCCAACCGACGCGAGGGGCGCAATCCGCATACGTGCGGAATTAGCCGAGTCAGAAAAGGCAAGAAGTTTTTTAAGTGTTGAGATCTTAAACTGCTCAGCTACAGAAACAAAAATTTCAACAGCTAAGATCTAAACTTAAAATATAATAAATTGTTACATTTTCATTTATTAAGAGAAAACAATAAAGTCTTTTTAATTTTGAAAAGTGAGTCAGATAAGTCAAATGTGCTGGAATGAGAATTAAAATCATGACATATACGGCGAAATGGCTCGTTTAGTTCAAAATTTGATCTACAGGATTTTAGCAGTAAAGGTCTAAACTGCCTCGAAAGGCGAACCGGGATATAAAATTTAATTTCAGACAGGAGAAAAGAACTGCAAACAGTTCCATTCAAAAGTTTCACTAAGAATATTATGCCAAGCATTTCCCTACGACTAGAAAGTGTAGGTAAATTAATAAGTTTTAAACGACTAGTGTATGGAGGTAGACTTACCCTATTCCAATATAGGTCTAACCAAAGTTGTAAAAAGTGTTTTAGTAATATACGGATCTCTAAATTCTTTAGACCAACGTTTAACAAAACTGAGGACAGCTTTTGCTCTCAAGACCATTGTATCAATATGAAGACTTAAATTAAGCTTAAGGTTCATATTAACTCCCAAATCAACATAGTTAAACACTTGCTCTAGAATATGGTGTTTTATTACATAAGAAGAGTGGGTCATAGGTCTACGGGAAAAGCACATCATCTTACATTTATTGAGATTCAATGGCAAATCATTTCTATCACACCATGCAACCAAATTGTTTAAGTCTGTTTGTAACAGACACCTTTCCTCAGTTCAAGTGTATGATTTATAAAGCTTTACGTCGTCAGCGTATAATGAAATTTTTGAGAATTCTATTACTGAAGAGATATCATTAATAAACAACAAGAACAGAA